GGCATCGCCCCAATCGGAGACTGCCTTGAGTGTCACATTCAAACGGCTAACCATAGACTCTCTACAAGACTGGATTTCCTCTTCACTGACCCTTGCATTGGTTAAGTACCTATCTACAACTCATCTGTCATTAGCATACGCATAGGTACTTGGAATTAACATATCATTGATATGCAGCAGAATGAGTGCTGCAGATAGTACGGAACACTGAGGCATCTATCGCCATATGTTCGGAAGAGTAGCCTTCTAAGACCAGTCGAATCGAACTTTCGCTCAAGAAATCCGAGATCCAATTGCAATGGTCAGTGGGAAGTCCATAACAGGGAAGTTTACTTAAAAGGCTTGCATGCCAGACCCTGTCAAAGGCTTTAGAAATGTCCAAAGATGCTGCGAGTGCTTCGGCTTGCTTTTCTATAGCCTCGCTCCCCGTACGTGACAGGCATACACAAGAAGATCTCCAGTAGATCGCCCTTGTCGGAATCCGTACTGGCGATCACTGTGGAGGTCGTTGTCCTCAAGGTATGACAGGAAACGGTTGTTGAGTACACGTTCCATAGTCTTGCAGAGTATGGAAGTGACTGAGATAGGTCTGTAGTTGATAGGGTCAGTTCTGCTTCCTTTTTTGGCACAGGTTGCACGTTTGCAAGCTTCCACGACCTGGGAACTACACCAGTCTCAAGTGAGAGGAGATACAAGCGTGTGAGAATAGGAGACAACTCAGGCGCACAGTTACGTAGGACCACCGCTGGTAGTCCATCTGGCCCGCTAGCTTTATTCACGTCAAGGTTCCGCAGAGTTCTAAATACCTCTTTTTGGCGTATGCGAACTGGCGCCATAGTGCAGCCAGCCTGAGGTAAGGTAGATGGTAGGTTCCCTGCGGCATCCACTCGCGAACTCTCTGCAAAGAGTGAGGCAAAGAGTTTCGCCTTCTTTTCTGCAGTATGGGCCAGCGTGCCATCCGGCCGCAGCAGAGGTGGTAAAGATGGGCGACAAAAAGTTGCTTTGGACAAAAGTTACTTTGGACCGCTTTGGCTAGGGATCAAAAGGATTTGCTACATGCTGGAGAGGCAAGCTTGGCCCCTATGTGGTGCACATGGTGGCACTTGGCCCTACGTAACACGCTTTTGCTCTTCTTGGCGGCTATATTAAAAGCTTTCTTCAGATTCCGAGCACTCGGAGCTTTGCACAATCGAGCATCTGCCCCTGCTTAGTACGCGAACTGCTTTACGTGGAGCATGCCGTGATTTTTCGTTGGGTGGCGGGGCAGCCTTTCAGCGTGGCTTTTCCGCTACTTGTGCCCCCAACTTCCCACGGTCGGCCAGCGGTGCACCGTGCTTCGGATTCCGCTAGCTTTCAGAACCGAGTGCTCAGTATGGCAGCACAAGCAGCTACAACTCGTCGTCAGACGTGATGCAGCTCTGAATACCCGATCTCTGGCAATGGCAACTCCCGAACACGAGTTAGAACACGGTGAAAACCATTTGGCAACTCGACTGCGTCGGGTAGGTATAGAGATATATAGGTATGTAATGTTTCTGGATCGCAAAAAAAGCTACGTATTTAAAACTTCCGTGAGGTGATTATCTATTGTGTAGGTCAGACGTAATTAGGTTTTGTCATATAATTTGTATATAATTTAGGATTTAATGAAGATAGAAATTACAAAACAGAGTATGAGGACGTAACCAATCACCTTAACCCTGTGGGTGCAAGGGATTTCATAAGGCAGGCTGCGCAATGGCCCCTCCGCGGATTTCCTTCGCGAACTCTTCTTATCCATAACCGCAGTGAGTTTTAGAGGTACTAATACTGTGAGTAAACTGGTAAATGCAATTTGTTTGATTTTTTTGTTTAACCGACTTTAAAAGAAGAAGGAGGTTCTTAATTCGACTGTATGTTTTTTTGTATGTATGTTACGCGATAACATTTATGGACCTATTTTGATGATTCTTTTTTTTTGTTGGAAAGAGGGTACCTCGGTTGTGGTCTCATTTAAATTTGAAGAAAATAGTCTATACCTCTAAAGGTGGCAAACTAGGGGATGAATCCGGTTTCGCGCACTTTCCGGTAACCGATTTCAATAAAACTTAGCAAATAGATGTAATGTAATGTTCCACGAACTTTTGATGTCAGTTTTTTTAGTATTCTGTACTGAGATAATTTTATATCTCTTTCTATGTTAATAAGCTATGTTAGTTAAAAAAAAATATTAATGCTTATAGCCAATGTTGTGATTACATATGTATTATCGGTCATTACATCAGACCGTGACCGGAAATATAATATAGAATCTGTTAAATGTAATAATGAATTGTACTACCTGTTGATGTATCTAAATAAATTTAAAAAATGCGTCAAGGTTAAGTTTAAAGTTTGCTCTAATGATCTCCACTCTCATTAAAACTTGCAAAAAACATTGTTTCAGAGTTAGACAGAGGCGGTTTTCGCGTTTCGACCACTCTGTCGTATATCGTAATCCTAGAAAAATGTCTTATTTAGCTGTTTTGGAGTGCAAAAATGATAGACGCACCAAAAATATTAACCGTGGTGATGTTTCACTTCATCGAAAAGTCTTATTTTAATAAATTTTCAATTTTCTGTTTATCGAAATAATTTGTTTGTTACAAGAAACGAAAGTAAAGCTTATACCCCTGCAATGTGGTTACTTCTTGTTTGGAGAACTAAATTAATAACTCCAATTAGTCGTCAGCACATTGATTGTTTCAATATTCATTATCTAAACGTCGTAACTTGTAATAAAAAGTATTAATTGTATTGAACTTTCAACGATGTGCCAACAGGGTAAAATTTAAATTATATTAAGAATCCAGAATTTGTTATTTCTTTTCAAATTTGAAACTACGACTAATCAATATCAAGATTAAGTAGTGAAGTAGAGTACAAGTAGTGTTTCAAATTAAGAATGTGTGAGTTTTGGCAGCATCGGTTCTGAATAACTATATATATATATATATATATATATATATACTTCGTTTCAATCCATTTTCAACAAAAGTAAACAAACAAGTCACTGACCCGACCATAGACGGTGGTTTAGTGATGGCCAATTGTAATGCCAACTACAAATCGATTAATTAATTGAATGAATCGATTTGTTCAATTGAGTCATACTAACGGTTTTCCCTACATAACCCATATAAGCATATTTAAAATTTCCGAAATCTTAATTTTAAGTCCTCCTTAAAATCCTTAAACTTAGGTACTCGTTCGATTGCGATTGAAATATTCGATTTACTAATCGATTACAAAAACTTTACTTGAAAGAACCGAATGTTTTATCGCACAGCACTATGCAACCATAGACAAGTCATGGATGCATTGATGAGAAGTAAGCTTACTTTTGGACTACCATTTTTCAAATACAATGCTATTTCAATGCTATTGAATTTTTTTTTGTTTTTGTTGGAAAAAGTGATCGAGATCAAGTCGAAATCTTCGTAATATACGTGAAAGTGTTACTTATTCGATTTATTGAGTGATTGCTTTGGAATTGTAACCAAACAGTTTTGTTTACTTTTTGTTGAAAATAGACTGGAACAGACTATACCTAGTAATCGAGGCTTGAGGCAGTTCCATTGTTTTCTTTCTTCCGTGATCGTATACATGGTGTCTATGAAAGCGGGTTAGGAGCAAATTTTCCACATCAAAGTAACGACGGTTAGGACATTTATTCTACGATTTTAACATGAATAAATTTTTTGCATTTAATTTTCAAAAACTCCCCGAGGAACTCAAGTTTTGTAGAAGTTTAAGAAGAGAAAATATTTATGAATATTCAACTTACTTCTTTTAAGTTCAGAATACACTTTTAGCATGCTCGTGCCAAAGAGATATTAAGAAGAGTCACCGGAAGAGAAGCGGGGAAAAACTGTTTTGCTAGATCGAATGGTTTAGGTTTAGGTATTCACTATTATATAACGGTCGTATAAAAATGTACCATACACCCAAGAATATTGCTAATTTCTTACAAGATGTAATGTACTTTACCCGATCATACGAATTCCGGAAAACAGGTAAAATAAAAGTCTAAAAGGAATCATTTAAGAATAATAGTTATTTGTCATGCAAGGCTGTAAAGTTGTTGTTTGACGCCAGTGCTTCTATTGAAACCTGAGCAAGCAGAGGATTCTAAGATTTGCACGAGACGCAAAAAAACTTTGTTGCCGAGCGAAACACACAACTTTTCACAAGAACTATAGCGAGGAAAATAGTAGAAGAAAGAAAAATACTTGAACTATAACAAAATAATTTAATAAACAAAATTAGTTATCGTTGTCAATTCAATGTCAACAATAATAACAATAAAATATGCCAACGGATTTATATTACATAAATAATGTACGGCAAGTCGCGTAGTTGAACGTGTCATTGTTTTTTTTATCGAAAGAAAAATTTTGATCCACCACAGTCCATCGTCCAGTTCGAATTTCAAAAAGCTTTTCCACGCTAGCGTGGAACCATCGTGGAACAAACGGTTTTGCGCACAGATTTCTAATGAGAAAGAAAGCCTCTCCGAGCTAGTAAGGTGAAAAATATTTTAACTTTGCACATAATTTATATATCCTCTTTAAGTTATAGACTCTCTTGAAGTACTACAGAGAAGCTGCTAAATTTTTGTTTTCAATTGCCCTATAGTTATTAAATTCACATTTATCAAAAAATTTGAAAATTGCCCAGCGGTTCAACGATACGCCGCGCCGCCAGCTGCCCCATTCCGATGACAACTGATCGGGCACTTGTCAACATCGGATATGTGTCATATTTTCTCCGCCTGTTCTTGTTTTATTCATATTAAGCGCGCTAATTGCGGGACGAGAGGAGTGACCCCCCCCACATCACCACCTAAAAACTAGGCTCTCATTAAAATACCTCGCCTTAAGAATTACGACAGTACTTCAGCACAGTAAACGGATACTCACACAGTTAATGAAAAACATAGTTCCAAAATTGTTATTGCTTTATTACTTTTTTTACGGGAAAGTACAAATAAGCAATAGGCATATTATTATTTAGACTTCGGTACCAGATCATAGTACAGAAGTGAGCATAACTGTAACTCATCATCTTTGTAGAGCAACACTTCTGTCCTGTACTCGCCGTAAACTTGGTGAACTTTGAAGTTTTCGTTGTCGAAATAGAAGTCCAGTGCTTTGTGGTCACCCTGCACAAGAATACTTATATTTCAGTAGTTTCAGATGATTGGTTATAAATAGTTATATTCTAAAACCATGTTACAGAATTTTAGTAATACTAATTTCTGTAACGTAAAGTAATGATAGTAGCTCACAGCCTCCGTGATCAAGTGGCTTGCACACCGGTTTCCATGGTGTCGCTATCTCTGAGGTCCCGGGTTCGATCTCCGGACGGGTCAGTGTAGGAATTTTTTTTATATTGTCTCGGGTCAGAGTGTTTGTGGTACCGTCGTTGTTTCCAATTGCCATAACACAAGTGCTATAGCTGCTTACTTTGGGATCAGAGCAATTTATGTGATGTTGTCTAATATATTATTTATATTTATTAGCTCAACTATTTGAGGATCTAAAAGTAACTTGTCTGTCTTTACATGAGTGCGACGTTTGTGTACTCTTAAAAATTATAAGCGAATTTGTCTTCGAATATAAACAATATACAGTTAAATTTTACATATTAGAAAAAATCATTTTTGCCCTTAGTAATTTCAAAGAATAACATCATGAATAGTTATCAAGTTATCAACAAGTTATCTAACTTTAAGTTAATTAAGTCTAGTTAATTTTAAGTTAAATTAATTAAGTTATTCTTTATGATATACGATAATATGAAATGGTTTGTGTCTTAAATTTAGACCGTCACTACTTTGCGGAGTTTACAAAACCTAATTTGTACTAAAGAAAATATTATGAAGTATAATACTAAAATATTCGACTATTTAAAAAAACTTCTTGTCTGCAAAGGTTCGTGTGCGTTGATGTGTTAGCACTCTCGAGTAGGTACTAAAATTTTAAGAGAGTTTTCATGCAATATATAAGGTTTTAGTATGCACATATTGTGTGTATTTCGTGTTATTTATTTGATTTTCCATTCTATGATTCTAAGAAGCATGCCAAGACGATCGGCTATTATTTGAGTTTTTTAAATAGGTACCACATTCGAGAGAGGTACGTACTATGCCGCACTAAACGGTACGTAGATACCCTCACAATACTACCAAAAGACGAAAATAATAAAAAATCATTTTTGGACAACCTCAACTGTATTAGTAATAAAGTTCAGTTTATAATGGAACTAGAGAACTGAGCGTTCTTTGATATCTTAGTTAATAGAAATCTAATAATACATTACGTCATATAGTATTTAGAAATAAAAACCATACAAATAGGTACCTCAAAGGTAATACCCACCACCATTCTAGCCGCGGGAAAATCTTTCAGAGGGCACATGGCGTCTGCGACAATAAGCATCGGAACTTCAACATATATAATAAAACAAGCCTTACGAGTAAAAAGTTAATTAAGTAAATCTTAATTTCAAGAGGGAAGACTCCTCCATACCGGTAGTTTGGATTCCGGTATTTCTTCTGATGAAAAATCTTAAGTAGACATAAAACTGCGGTACTAATATGTTTTAATTTGTTTCTAATTTTCGTTCAATTAATACATTTATTTAGTAAAAATTCATGTTGTTAAAATATTTTGCTAAATGTATGTAGCGTAAATTGGAATGTTCTTTGGTAAATTAAAAACAAGGTTTAAAACTTTAGTAATTATAGTGAAAACTAGGGTGGTTCGCATTAATATTAGATATAACTCGTTGATGACTTTACCATCTCAGTAAGCCGTGATCAAAGGATCTGTAAAGAACCCGAAACGTTGTGTTGTTTGAAAATTAAATTTAGATCTGAAATAAATAGTTTCATTTCCCGATTGTTCATACATTCATTAAAAATGTAGGAATTAGACACTCATTAAGTAGAAGGAAGCAGCGATAAATATTTTATATCAAGTATTTTTAACGTTATAGTAGAACATACTGATTTCCTTTTGTACCCACCGCAGGCAAGGGGCATTCTTCCACGCCAGCTGCTTGAAGTATATTGATGAATAAGTCTCCCATCAACAGAGAGAGCGTCTTGCAAGCCGGTTCCTTCATGTACAACCCGCCAGGTTTGTAACCACCTTGCTTTTTTATTGAACCTTTTATTTCTATCTGGAAATATAAAATTTACTTATTTCCTGATATAATTACTTACTTACTATATTATTTATAATTTCTGTAACAGTGTTTATTTGAGAATATTGAGTGCAAAGGATAATATTTTAAAAGATGGTATTCTTACTGCATACTATAATTTTTAACTTTTGTTTAATAACAATATACATATTCACCCTGTATGAGCGTTATCTGCACCTACATAATTATGTACTTGTATATGCCTACGTATACAACAATAATTTCGTAAATACATTGTGTTATTTAATCTTTTATTTTTAAAGATACAACGGGACTCACAATCATATCGTTCCCGATCGGAATAGGAGTACTCAGAGTGATGTCCAATAGATGCATAGTTCGGTTGTACTTTTTTTGTGTCACTGCAAATTGAACAATATTGACTGGCTGCTCGCATTCCGTTACGGTCTTAAAATGCATATCGGCTGGACCCTGTAACATCGTAAAATATTTTTTCTTTGATTTAAAGAGAATAAACGTACAATGATGTCATAACGTACCACAAAGCCATGTAATTAATTTGCGTTTTCCGAAAACGACTATTAGGTACGAATCAAAGCTAGAGAGAATATGTAATTTTTCAAATAGAAAAAAAAAATTTGAAGTTCAATAAAAAATCCCTTCTTCTCCATAGATGGTGAAAATATTTTTTTGTGGGCTGTGTTGACAGCATACTAAATAAATTTAGTAAATTTTTTAACATAAATGTGTAGTTAGTTCTTTAATAACTTAACTAAAGTACGATTGGACATAAATCACCGAAGCGGAACTGCGATATTGCCTTTGGTCCATTGCTCTCGAAAATTTGTTTAGTGTTGGGCGTGCGTAAGCCCATTAGCAATAACACAATGGAATTACTAAGGGCGCGCGGTGCTCTTTGAGTAATTTATTATCTGGTATTGGTTAAATATCGCATCCTTTTTCCTTTTATTTTAATACCTTTATTACAACTCAGATATTAATGGGTGGGTGATGGTTCCTCTCTTCATAGCAAAACGGTCCTTAGTGAGAAGTTGATACGGTAACACTAAAATGTGACGCGTTCTTTCAACTCCTGATTTCTGATTACTTGTGATTATGTATATCAATGAATACCTGTTGTTTTCACGTTTAACCGCCAGTTTAAGGTGTATTTAGTAATTTTATAGAAAATCTTTTTTTTACTTGTGTAATATTTTATTTCGAATTTCAGAGCTATCAAGGCCTAAGAAATGTACTCAATAAATATTAAATTCATGGGCATCTACTTCAAATATTTTTCTAACAAAATTCATCATTTTAAAATGATTCTTAAACACCTAGCAGAGCCAATTTTTCTTCAAAATAGATGTAATTAATGATAGATATCAGTAGTTCCCAAACTTATTTTTCTCGTGGACCACTTTCAAAATTTTACTGGTGTCGGTGGACCCCTGCTGCTACATTTCTACCACATTCTTAAAGTCGCCAAAAAATAAAAATTGTGTCGTTTTTGAGTTCTGTCCCTATATTCCGATAGGTAAAATAAAAACGAAAAATGGTACATTTTATAACATTTTATTTATTAAAAGAATAGAATTACAAGAAAAAAATAATAAGGTAATATAGGTTCAGGTTATAATTTTAATTAATGGGAAGGATGTATTTGACGAAGTGTCAGCAAACGATCAATGTTTGGCTTTATTTTTGTGAGCAATAATCGCAAATCCCCCCGCTCTGTGATGTTTAATTTGCTCCTTTTTTTTGTTAAGAGGTTTGTAACGGCACTAAAACTCCTTTCGACAAGGTATGACGAGGGAAAAGCTATTAAAAATTTCTTTGCGATTTCCCACAGTCCAGGATATTTTTCGGGTATTTCTGCTTGCAGCCAAAATGTTTGGTAGCCTTTTCTAAATTTCACCTTCAGCTCCTCATTGGTGCTTATCTCGAGCAGCTCCTCTTGTAATACAACATTGGCCACTTCCGTTTCATCAAATTCAAATGGATTTATGATCCATGGTGGTATATCCATCGTCAGCATATCTTCAAACCTGGTTTTAAAGTCATCATGCAGGGCACTTAAATGTTGACTGTAGGTATGGATATCCTCATCAATACATTCTACCTGCGACAAGTTTGGAAATTGAGAGAATTCGCGCCGACTAATGTTTTGCTTCATAAATTTCAATTTCCCAAGAAAAGCCGAAATTATCCCCTTTGTTTTTATTAAATTCAGGCTGTCCCCTTGTAACTGCAAGTTGATATCATTAAATTTTTTAAACAAATCTGTCAAATACGCAATGTCTGCTTTGAATTTGATCAAGTTTTCTTTAAAATCTGGATCTCTACTTTCTAGGAACTCTAATACGGAATCGAAAACAGAGTAAAATCTCGTTAAGCATGCGCCTTTCGACAACCAGCGTACTTCGGTATGTAAGAGCAGTCGTTGGAAGTCTTCATCATTTTCATCGCACAATTGAGCAAATAAACGCGTATTCAATGCATTGCTTCTGATTTTGTTGACAGCTTTTATTACAAAATGAAGAGATCGGTTCAACCTGTCACTTAAATGTTTTGCCACAAGATGTTGTCGGTGGATTACGCAATGAATAGCTGTAAGTCCTGGTATAATTCTTTTGAGATGACTTATAACTTATAACCCACGATATCGCCCGACCATTGCAGGAGCTCCGTCTGTTGCCACTGAAATAAAGTTTGTAAATGGAATCGATTTTTCCGTAAAAAAATTACTCAGAACATTAAATATTGATTCGCCTTTAGTGTCAGTCTCTAAAGTTCTGCCAAATAGCAATTCTTCGTGAATTTCTTCCTCCATAATAAATCGGACATATGCCAATAATAATGCTTCATTACCGGGTAACGTTGACTCGTCCAGTTGTATAGAAAAATGAGTTTTTTGCAGATGATCGCACAAAAAACTTTCGATATCAGAGCTCATTTCATCAATGCGTCTTTGAACAGTATTGTTACTTAATGGAATTCTTTTTAGTACGTCAAATGGAGATTTGTGCAAAACAGTTTTTAAAACCTCTTCAACAGCGGGTAGAATTAATTGTTCTCCGATAGTGTGCGGTTTTCCAGATTTTGCTATAAGTAATGAGATATTGTAAGATTCCAAGCAAGCCGTCATCGTTACTTTGAGATGTTGAAGCGAACATACTGTGCATGGTCTTTTCATATTTTTCCTTCAATGTTTGAAAATATTTTAAATCTTTACCTATTTTGTCAGTATGACACCTTTTTAGATGATCTTCGAGCTTTGATGGTTTCATAGAGTCATTGCTCAAAACTTTGTTGCATAATAGGCACATGGGCAATTGTTTGTCTGCCTCTGATGGAACAAAACCATATTTCAAATAATCGACACTATATTGTCGACATTTTTTCTTTGCTGTAGCCATGTTTCGTGTCAGTTACCTTACCTGTAAAAAAGAATGTTTTAGTAACCAAGTTTTTTTCTGAATATAGGTATCACACCGCAGCCTTTGTCAGCACGCAGAAATAGAATTACGGCTTGTTAAGGGGCCAACTAATAACCGCTAAGACAAATACAGACGTTTTCACAAAACGGTATCAATTTTAAAGTACCTAAATTACCACTAATTTTTAATAGTACAAATAAAAATGGGTGTACTCAGTATCGAATACTGATCATATTTGTGTAGGAAAAAATAAAAGTCGAAATCCCAAAATTGTCCATAAAAACGATAACTAACATTTCATCAAATCAATGATGTATTTGCGTATTTTTTGTCTGCGCCTTCATTGTTAAAACGTGACTTTTTTATACTGTTTTATAAAATTAGTAGTTATTTGCAAGAAAAATTGAAAAATTAATTGCTATTGCTTATTCGGCCTTTTTAGAGAGGCAGTGCTTCTCTCGCGAAAAAACAATTGAATAAAACGTGCTGTGTTTGTCTTCAAATCGAAAGAGGACAATTAAAATATCTGTAAGTTCCTAAGTTACCTATCTATACAAGCAGTTGTGATCAACCGACTAGTACACGTAAACAAAATACATAAGTACTATAACAAAAAAAAAGGTATTTACTTACTTTTCTCCGGCACTAACAAACACTGATATAAATTACCTTAAAAACCATTTTTTCGAAATTCCGGAAACAAATGAATGAGTTTGCCTTTGGCATCAAGTATTTATAGTGGTGATCAAGTTCATGTCTGAACAAGCATTAAGCATTGTCGGGCGGATAGCGCTTTGCAAGTCTGTACATGTACGTACACGAAATTGTACGTAATATCGAATACGCAAGTTTGGACAAGTAAAAGTCGCTTGCCTTATTAAAATATTATCTGCTTAGTTATGTACTTAAAACAATGTAGGTAGGCCCTTATAAAACTATGCTTACATTTTTGCTCTTTACTATCAAAAGCAGATAATTTTTCGTGGACCCCCATTAACATCTTATGGACCCCCATTTTTGTTCACGCCTACGTAGACCCCCAGCAAGTCTCCCGTGGACCCCTGGGGGTCCACCTGGACCACTTTGGGAATCACTGATATAGAATAATGATAGATATCATAGATCTTAGGAGTGTGCGAAGAGTTTTTGTAATGACTTTTTTTATATCACCAAGTGACGGGACGAACAAACCGTGCGCCAGGTGGTAAGAGATATGCCTGTCCATAACAGTTCCAGTGGCGCGCAGAGATGAACCGTGAAAAATAGTTTTGATGAACCGTTAACATAAAGACTGTATTAATTTTATTTCTTGTTAGACGATGTGTAGAGACGATTTGCAAAAACAATATGTAAAGAAAAAATATACACGTCTTCTTCAATAACTTAGTGTAAAGATTGCTAGAAATAAATCCGGAGTTTAATATAATACTTAGCAAATTAAAATAATGTCTAAATCTTGTAAACATACCAGCGAAGTAGTTAGAATTAACACGAATGACACACTTACCAACATCACTCCGAGGCTTACAACGCTACGTAATACATTTAAAACGACCAACAAACACAAAGGTAACCGGAACATGCTGCTTAGCACAAATGTGAACAAAAAAGCAAACGGTTTTTATTACCTCCTACATAGCGTGATTCGACGTTTAAAACAATAAGTTGTGATAATGATCGATTGCTGCCGTTGCTGCTATCGTAAATCAGAATTCATTATAGTCTTCACAATTATGAAAAATAATGAAATCATATAATATTAATTTTATTATGTGCGTGCTATAGTCACACATTGACCGTGATATACTATGGCATACAGTACTTATTTATTCGGTCGTTCTTATGAAAACGATTGTAAATAATAACACAACATCACATGCGTTACTTTAACCCAAAGTAAGTAGCACTTGTGTTATGGAAATCGGAAACAACGACGGTACCATGTACTCCTAGATCCCGCCCCGAGACAATATAAAAAAAAATTCAATAAAAAAAAATTTAAAATAAATACCTTATCACGTAAGTTCTTACTTACTGGAAGTAAGATTTTGCGAAATTCTACTTTAAAACTGTCTATGAAAATGACTATATTGTGCTGGAAAATGACGCATTAAAATACGTGTTTAAAATCATGAAGTGTAAGGGTAATTTTCTAGTTAGTTTCTCTACCTAATTTCGGTGTCAATTTTTATTATTTAAATAATCTAGAATATTATCGTGCAGTATTACTTAATATTCGAGAGTCGCATCCTTAAATATAATTTAATATTTCACGATAATATACTCGAATACTTAAAAATAAAAATTACCACCGAAATTAGGTAGAGAAAACTAACCTAAAAATTACCCATAAAGTAGCATTTCACACAAGTAGCACTTCAGCCAGAATTAATGGCTTGTTGCGGCCGTCGCTTTTATTGGCAACCGATGAGTTCGCAAGATCTAAAAGACTATAGTAGACTATATATAGAGGTTAGAACCTATAACACAAATTTACGCAATAACGCGAGGTTCTTTAAGTTACGTACTACGTAATTTTCTTTCAATTTTCGATATAAGTTATATTCATATTGTACTTAGTAGTGAGGTTTTCTCCTGTTGTGACCGTATCTAGCTGGAAATATTATTGGGAAATCAATGATTTCGAAGTGCAAAATGATTGTGCATGTTCTCGTTATTTGTCCCAGGTCTTTACTGATATGTTCTTCGACCTATGTATCTTGTTTCAGCTCTTAAATTACGTGTACTTGCAAGTGCAGGTGGTGTAAGTAATTTTAATTTACTTTAAACCTCAAAAATACAATCCGCTATTTACGGGTTTCTGTGTTGATCTTATTTGCCTAGAATATATCCAAACTCAACCCTAGGGAAAAACATTTGGCTACAGCACTTTCAGTTATATTTATTACTAAATACATATATGCTTTACGATTAAGTACAAGTGTCAAGTTGAGTTACAAGTAGTCTGGCATCAGGGTCTATCTTTCATATTTTTTCTCAAGTTATAAGTTTTTTTTATTGTATAGGAGAGTCAACATGATGCATACACAACAATATATAACAATTATTTATTTATTACAGCATTATGGTTATAAAGTTTGAAGGTATACAGGATACATTGTAAGTATTGGCGAACACGTAAGCTATACAGATTCAAGAATGTATGAAAATTAATTATTCAATTACTCACACAGTCCTTGCAACAACATAAGAATACAAAAATATAACGCTCAGTTTGTCCAAAAATCAGATGTCCAAAAAATAAACAAATGTGTGAAAAATCTCGTCCGCAAGTCCGCAACTAATAATAACGCCCATTAGTGGCTTTGCTGTGGTTGCCAGCAGTGGCCCAGTATGCAGCGACTCTAAATCTGCACGGAACTCATGGAACTATATAAATCATCAACAGTGTAATAAAACTATTATATAAACTAGTGTTTTCTCTTATTGAATAACTTCTGTATGACACCATCCAGTCATAAATCACTGAGAAAAATGTCACAAGACGAAAAATCTTGCCAAGGTAAATACGCTTCTATAATAAGATTCGAGTGATATTCGAAATGTAAAACTATAGTGAAACAAAAACTTTATACTGAAGGTGTACAACTTCTGCATACTTGGATGACAAAAATCCGTGATAGTGACCCGTTTAGTTCTTTCAGGTATTCTCGATCTAAGATGCTTAAATTAAATAAAGTAATGATAAAGGTAAGGTAAAAAAGACAATAAGAGCTTAACTACTAGAAAGTAAAACTAGGATTTTTATATTAATGCGTTGGGCAAGGTAGCTGCCGACTCTTGGGTTTCTATTAATTTTTTCGATAAAATTTTATACAGAAGAAGGGCACTGGGATCCCACGGACCAAGGGTTTCGACTCCAAAGGCTGTAAATAGGTAGTCGGAGCCGAGATCCTGGTACTGATTACTTTTATTCTTTCCGCCAGTTCAGCTGCGGAGCCACCCCTCTTGCTCGTGTGCTGTAGATGGGATGGGGCAAGTGTGTCGGTTTGCCGCAAGGACACCGATGATGGGAGCAAACTGGGACACCGAGGCGGTGGCCTGCAGCTATGGGAATGGTCTCGGCGCTCAGGAAGGTACGGTCTATTGGGGTACAATGATTCATTAAGTCATTGCACATGCACAGTACATTATCCCAGCTCCTTTGAATTTTGGGGTCGGACGGAGAATTTTCGTTGGGGCAAGCCTGGTCCCAGGCGTTTCTGGACTCAATTAAACACGTCACCTCGCAGTTTGTTGGCGGAAGCCTTAGGAAGGGTACTGCCTACGCGGATGACCGTGCTGTAGATTGAGGACAAAAAGGCCGGAAGGGCTATGGCTGATACACTCTCCTGATGTCTAGACCACCGTGTCTGATGGGGAGGGTAATTTGGGTCCAGGCATTGTGGGTGAGACGTACGTTGAGAAGGGATTGAAGAAGAGCCCTTAGGTCAGAATGTATTGACATCAACTGATTATGTAATTTCCAAGGCGAACAGCAGCGAAGTACGTATGTAAATTTAGGAACGAAAAGGCAATATTTTAAAATTTTTAATTGTGCGTAGTGGGTGTCTAGGCTCAGGAGCCTATCTGTACAAGAGTTGAACTTTGAGATTGAATTTTGGAAAAAAGGCTGGAATTAAGTCATCGAATATAGGTGCACCTAGGAGGCTAAGCTTGGATTCGTCGGTGAGACGAATGTTGGGGGCAAGAGTATTAAAATTTGGAATGATTGTATCCCTGTTGGGATAAGATTGAGGGATGTAACGTTCGCATTTATCAAAATTTAATTGGAGGCCAATGGTGTTAAAACAGTTGATGATTTGGTTAAAGTCCGAAAGTACGATGTTTGCAGGGCCTCCTAGTGTTCCATCGTCTAGGTAATAGATGTAAAGATTTGATTGCAGATTTTGGATGATGGGATGGATGGCGAGACTAACGATGGCAGGCCCCATAGGATGGCCTTGCTGACACCCCACGGCAGATGATGGTTCACTGGCCCAGTAAACAAGTTTAGAGGGCTCACTATAGCATTGAAGGAGGTAATTGGAAATCTCTGCTCTGCACGTCGCTTAGCAGAGATTTCCAATTAATTAGTAGCTTCACCTCGTTCAGCAAAGCATCCCTATTGACGGAATTAAAAGCGTTTTTGACGTCGATCTTGAGCAGCACCTTATCCCCCGAGTTTTTGTAAAGTAAGGTACGGAGAGCGTGAACAGTTGCTTTGCAACCGCCTTTAATGCGGAAACCTAGCTGAACGGGCATAAATAAAAAATAAAAAAAAAGATTTGCCAAACGCATAATTTTGACGCGAGGCATTTCAATGGTCCTGTGCCTCAATCGGCCTGACGCCGTCATCCTTTTTAGCTAAGGCTATTAAATGTGCACCATAAAGGATGGGGATTATCTCCGTGTGCATATTGAATCAGATTTACCACCTCAGCGATGTTTTCCCTCAGCCTTTTGCTGACTTCGTCGAGCGATGGCGAAGTGAGGTATTTCAAGTATTGAGGTGATAACCCGTCGAGACCTGCAGCGGAATCGGGTGTAAATGACGAAATGCCCGATAAGATGTCCTTTTTGTTGACTTGAAGGCAAGAATTTGGAGGGCAGGGTGGATCCAAAAAGTAAGATTCTGCAGGAGCTGGAGGGTGCTTGCACTCAAGGGCGGTTACAGTGTGAGGGTTGTCAGGTGAGATGACGTCGTGAGAGAAGAGAAGTCGTGCTGCATCTTTGAGTTCGCCGTCGCTAATTTTGTTCTCAGTCCTTCTGGATAAGGTAATATCAGGGGAACTACGAGAAGAAACGGAGGAATGGAGTGGGGGACGAGAGCAGTTATTTTTAATTTTTTGTGTCAGGGTGGAACTACCGTCAGCCGAGATATTGAGCATCTTGTAGGCAAAGGACAGGAGATATTGCGAACTGTCAGACTCATTGTGTCTGACGCAATTTTGCACGGCGAGGGAAAGAGCATTAGCGAGTCGAGATCCTAGCACCTCGTGGAATCCTTTTCATTACTGGTGTATGACGCTTATGCTCACTGAGTAGGATGTGGAATGGAGTATTTTGTGCTGATGGTGTGGTGGGGAGTGACGGGAGCGGCAGATTGACTAGAGTAAATGAGATGCACTTTACCTTGATGGATGTGCATGCCTTTCAGACTGCGGAATGTTCGGAGGCAAATCATGCACTCTGTTTCCGCCATGGTGTCTCTCGGTCTTATTTAAAATCTAAAATTTCCTAATGGCTAAAAAAATCACATATTAAGATTATGAAAAAAAAACACAAATAACAAAGCACAACATACATAAAATACTCAAATCACTATTCAACACGAATAATTACACTACAAAACATAAAAATAAGCTTAAGAAAAAATCAACAGTTCGCAAGACAGGTGACAAGTGGATGATAAATGTATTCAAATGTATATTTACAAAGAGCAACCCTTAGAGTTTCTTGCTCATTCTTCTCAGGGGAATGTGCCTTACGAAGGAGCCGTAGAGTTTAATCAGTAATTTGCTTACATGACATAAAGTTTATTTGACTTTGCCTTCGAATACTATAAGACGTCTTAAATTATACTAAGTCTATTAATATTCTATTCCTTCATCACTTCAGAGCAACTATTCTATTCGCATTCTAGTCCTTTTGTTCTCTATACTAATTATGCCATTAATGCTCTGAACTTGTTTAGTGCAATGAATACCTTGTTCTCTTTAGACAATCTTAAAGTGATCTATTGAAATTGTTAGTGAATTCGAAAGTGGCGACTGTTTATTTGCAATGTTTTGAAATCGGAGTTAACTTAATTTAGGCGTCCGTTACAAAAGTGTAACTAATTATTGCAATGGATTCATTTCTATGTAAATGACTTCCATTACCGAATAAACACCACAGTTTTTTTTAAACTAACCTCAAAAATTTAAAGAGCTAAATTAAAAAAGAGATAAATTAGGTGGATTTTAGGAAGCCCATCAATTTTGTAGTAGTTTTTATGTTTATACATATTTCTCGCATATGTATTAATCCGCATGTATTTATCTGCCATATTCTTGCGACTAATATAATTTATTAGTTCGTCATCATTTGTTTTATAAATTCCTCAATTGTTATCTCTTTAGACGAAGAATAGTCACAAAAGCATACCTTGGCATTCTTGAGATTGTCTTTAATTTGCCTAATTAGATAAAAACGTGCACTATGAACTATTTGAATGTATTCTTGAAGTCAATGACAAGAGTAAATACTGTCTAAACTGTCTAAAGGTCATACTCTTAAGTCTTAGTTCTAAGTAACCCTAAAAACCCTTGCCTCTCCTGAGGAACCATCTTGAGGGACAAGTTAGGGCGCGTTCCCACTATGTCGTGACGACAGATTGTCGTGCAGTTTACAGTGTCGTGACTTGTATATTTAAATGAAGTTGTTCACATATAGCACGACACGATTAACTGTCGTTCACGATTTTTTATCGTTACAACGACAAACTGTCGTCACAGTGGGAACAGCGAGAACGACAGTCGTCAGACGATAAAAAAACGGCACGATAAAAACGTGACGACAGATTGTCTCAGCTCCTATTACTGTCACGATCTAGTGGGAATAGCTAGTTACGACAGTCGTTCAACGATAAAAATCGTCCACGACAGATAGTCGTAATATGGGAACAGGCTAGACACGACAGTCGTCCAACGATAATAAAACGTGACGACATAGTGGGAACGCGTCCTTACTCTTAGCTAGGTTATAAAATATAACGTATTAGATATCCTGTTCATGAAACCAAGTGCTGTCGTAACTTAAAATTGTGGAATTAAGGGTACGATTTGAACATTTAAAAAAACTAAATGAAATCAATGCATATTTGCTCGTTTATAAATAGATAACCAAATGTTATGTATAAATAAAAATAATCACACTATTCGCAATGAGATCTATTCAACTTTTTTTAATTTTCAAAATTTCAAATGTTTTCTAAATTCCACAATTTTCCCACTTCTATTTTATCCACATACTACCTGGGCGTGACGGTATCAGCATTGTACACCTGCTGGTGTGTTTGCTCAGGGTTCTTTCAAAATTTTACACCCTATGCATGCGCCACTTACCTACCGTTAGGAAGACAAACTCTTTACAACAGAACAGAATTTACAAAACCGTCGCTCGCTTCAACATTCAAAGAACTGGGTAGTCGTACAAAAAATGCAAAAGGTGGATTTTGAAAATATTGAGTTATTCTAGTACTATATTTAAAATTTGTGTTTGAATTTATTATTAATTTGTTTACAAAATTCATTAGCATTTTTCGTCATCAACTCGACAATTCCAAATTTCTGAAAAAAATCCATCGAGTTCCTATTTCAATTTTAACGAAACAGTGACAATTTTAAAATAGCTCTCAAACGGACTCTAGATTTTTTTAAACTATAGAAAGTACACATAAACCTTCACTTAAACAAAAATACTTAAATAAAAGTACATTTGAATTTGTTTGTATTGACATGGCATAAATATATTAAGTTAAGAACAAGAGTCTTGCAGAACAATTTAGGGTCTCCCACCTGTAATGGGACAATCACTGTGACCTGGGCACCATTTCGTAGTACAAGTACTTGCACATTACCATTTTCGTTTCAATGAAGTACATCACTTTTGTTCTATACTCGCCGTACAATTGTGGTACATTGTATATTTCATGATTGAAGTAGAAGTTTAGAAGTGAATAATTTCCCTGTAAGAAATTTACACAGTATTAAATCCAATTTAAGAATCATCACTATTCCTTTAGCAACATGATTGTATACAAATTGAAAAAAACCTGCCTCTTAACAACATCGCAATTGCTAATAAGCCGTTCGGACGCATTTAAAAAGTTCTTTTTGACGCTGGTTTAACCGTATCATAATAAATGTATTAACGACTATACAATGACTATATGCCAAAAGCAAAGGGGCTATCTAAGTTATTGCAGTTCTTAAGAAGTTGTATTGTAAAACAAACTGCGATTGCCGTTCACCTACAGGTACCTCAAGTTTCGCAGTTACGGAGAGACGGAATACGAAATTGGAAACTCGAAAATTATTTTTCTATTTTACTCGTATAATTCTAAGACAATTCATGTGGTACTTATCTATCACCCGGTCTACAACGGGCAACGCTCATTGAAGCTTGCACTGTATGAAGGCTTGAATACAGAGATGAACAAATTTTAGACAGTACTCGTGACGATGGATTCTTAGTGATAATCGCCAACGATCAACACTGTGGTTGAAACCCAACGACTAGGCAACAAACAGTATCAAAAAAACTTGCACAAATCATTTTCGATAGCTGTTTGGTGGTCCAGTCGTGGCGACATTCAATATACTATGTGCTTAGTACAGCTGTACCAAACACAAGTCCAGTCGTGTGTGGAGTACTGCTGCCACCTATGGGATAGTTCTGCTAAATATCGACTGGCAAAATTGGATTCACTTGAAAAACGTGTCAAGAGGCTTATACTGCCGTCCGCTATAAAACGTGGCTGACAACATATTTTTTTGAGACATCGTAAAAAGCCATAACCCAGTTTTAGAATATTGAAATTGTTTCATGATATTTCAGCTATGCATCGTTAGGGTAAATTCAGATCAATCGAACACGTTAACTAATTTTAAATGTTTTTAAAAGATAATTTTGTGCTCTATTTTTCGCTATTTAAAACGGTTATTTGATCATTTGCCACTTAGCCGCCTTTTAGTTAGTGGACGGCAGTATAGGTGACTCGGAATTAGTAGAAGTGAAGCTGCTAAGCCTTGAATACCGCCGCAAAGTTGCCTACTTATCGGTATTCTATAGGATATAAGAGAAGATGCAGATTATACAGAACAATTCGCCTTTCTCCATACTCTTCTGCATCCTACCGTTTTTAAAAGAAAACGTCTATAATGAGGTCCAAAAACTTTGTGGATTTCCATTTCATACTGTTCTACCGCAGAGGAATAAATGAGCTTTTAGCAAGTTGGCATGCTTGCGTGTTTCTTTTTTAAGTTGATCAAATAAACGTTATTTTCCACGAACATAGTTTTGTTTCAATTTTCCTGTACAGAACGGCATTTACATATTTTAACCCCTATTATTAGTACTCTATACTTACCGGAGGGAGTGGGCAATCTGTGACGCCAGCACCATTTAGGATTGCTGGTAATATATCTCCCATTAAAACATAGAGCAGCGAGCATGCCGGTCCTTTGATGTTCGCGACGCCTGGTTTGTACCCTCCTTGTTTTTTTACAGCGCCTTGTAGTTCCGTCTGAAAGTATGTATCTTGTTATGTACAAAATCTGTATTTTGTTGTTGAAACAAAATACGTGTAAGTACGTGCACAAAAACCCGTATATAACCAATGTTTAGTTGTACAGTAAATCACTGTGGCCCGCGGAATTCACACTAAAAGTTTTCAGTGTTTAGATACAGAAAAAAATATTCCAATTGTCACTTTTAACTGAAAATTTTGTAAAGTGAAAATTTTAACACTATGTAAATTACGTAAGGCATCAACAAAAAACTTTGATAGATTGAATATGGTGCGGCTCACCGTACAACGGAACAAAAATGTTCAGATCCGTAATATAATATTTTTTTACCGTCATAAAATCGCCATAACCATAAGGTGTATTCAAAGTAAAGTCTAATACATGTGTGGTACGGTTGTACTTCCTTTGTGTAATATTAAGTTCTATAATGTGCACAGGATCTTCACATTCTTCCGTGTATTGGAAATTCATCGTCGCAAGGCCCTGAAATATAAGCAGTATATTACATGTAGTTGGCGTGTAAGTAATGGAGTAGACAGAGACACTTTTGAATTGCCGTGTTTGGATCTATTAATTTAAACGAAAGTTTAAATTTTGTAAAGAAAAACTGATCTCAAAAGTTTGTGGAATTAAATCTGTTTACCAAGTTTTATCGAAATCGGTTAACAGGAAGTGGATGAAATCCAATGAACCGGATTCATCTCTTAATTTGCCATCGTCAAAGGTTGAAAAATTTCTTCAAATTTGAATGGGTGGTCCTACAGAGGTACCCCTTTGCCAACTAAAAAAAGAATCATCGAAATCGGTTCACAAATATCGGAGTAATCACGTAACATATACACAAAAAATATATAGTCGTATTGAAAGCCTCGCCCTGTTTTTTGAGTCGGTTAATTTTTTTTTCATTTAACATGTCATAACAGTTGCGATAGTACTCAGAGTTTTATATAGTAAAAACTAAGACGTAAATTTGACAAGTTTTACGACCAGCTTTACCCTTTAAAATTTAAACTCAGTAATGCTCACATTACTGCTAGGCAGCAGCTTAACCGTACATTGTGTAGTAATGACATATTTACTGCCCGTAAATAAGGAATTACGAACAAGACTCTATAAGAAGCCCGAAATCGAAGACCCAGTGCTTTCAGAGCCGAGGTTCGTAATTCCCTTACCGCCCGTGAAACATACAATGTTTTTCATCACACTCGCACGTAAATAGTATGATTGCATGCAGGTTAACATAACTATAATGCCCCAAATAAACCAAAACCAAGGGCCATTCTTTCTTCTCCTTACACGAGCGTGTCTGTAATGAGAAAATAGAGGTTTTATTTGGGGCATTATAGTCAAGTTAGTCAGCATGCAATCATATTATTTACATGCGAATGTGATGATAATAAGGTTGCAGTATTTGTCAAAATAAACCTTACCAACATTCCATATCCCACAGTGATATCTAACAAAATGCATCCAAGCAACAAACAAAAAAACGTCCGTAGCATATTGCATTTACTAGTAAATAAATAAAAATCTGAAATACTCGACTTTTAATACCTCCACTGTAATATAATTATAATGTTATAATAGTTTCTAGATCCACTTTAATTCCTCCACGTGAACTCAAAAAACGCGTGTGCATGCGTTTGTACAGTCAACAGCAGATCAAACTATACATTTTTGTTCGAATATCGCCTAGGAACAACGGAACAAGATCCGTCAATATGTAGCTTGATATGCTGCCGTGCTTACACTGTTAATTATGTATATTAATTTTCCTATTAATCACACAATGTACAAGTACTATATACTAGTAATACAAGTTTTAGATATGATCTATAATTACGACCAATGGAATATGTATTAATATTAATAATAATAACGTACACACTCATAGACTAGGGAAACCTTGTATCGCGGGTGCAGTGGACACACATAAATAACCACAAATTAAACCCAAACTTACCAATTTAGGCCTCGTAATGGATGGCACACTTTAATTTGAACCACATGTTGGTCGGAAAATTGCCACCTGTCATGCATCGCTAAAATAGCTGTAACTAAATCTGTCTTTAAATATTGTGGTGCGGCTTAGACTATCTAATGCCCTAAGTAGTATTGTTTAGTTTTGATTATTGCGACGTAGTCTCGGCTCTTGTCATTGAAGAAAACGGAGAAGAACTTTCAGCGGGTTCAGAACTCTTGTGTCCGATTTTGCTATCCAGTCCCTCCGCGCTCTCAATATACCCCTTTTCTTCATTCATTTGGCGTTTAAAATATGTCCAATAGGCGTAAACTAAACTTGAATTGTCTGATACATTACGGTGAACCTCAATATTTGGCGAATAAATTGTGCTGGAATAACAGAATGAAGGATCGGACTCGGTCAACTCAGTACCTAGTGTTACGATTTCCCTTGTTTCCTCGGTACACGCCTTTAGAGGAAGTTTTCGGTTTGCTTCGCCTAAATGTTGGAATGACATTTTGCACTCGATTACACTTAATCGGTCATTGCACACTTTTAAAAGAAAGTGTAAGCAATGGCTATTTAACTTACAGAAATTACAATGTTGCTGGACTAAATTGTTATAGTAATTGCATTAAAGAGTAGCTAATCGTTTCTTCGTTTTGTTTTAAGTTTCTTCTCAGTCTATTTGTCACCTAAGTAAGTTTTATTGTATTAAGTTAAAACCTGTTCCAGTGCCGTTTGTGCCCAGTATTTAATGTTCAATTATATGTATATATATACATATATATTCGTATGCTCATCGAAATAATGAATTGCCTTTACGAAACATTATACAATATATATGTATATTTTATTAGGACGGACGTGTATCGTTAGTCACACTTATTAAGTTTTTGTAATTTAATAAATATTATTGGAAAGATTATTCCTAAGGGGTGAAGACATGGTGTCCTGAAATACAGCCTTTGAGCCTAGTTTAGGCATCAGGTTCCCACAGTATCTATAAAATAGTTCATAAGTATTTTATTGTAATGTGGAATAAATAAATTTATTATTGTTATGTATATCTATTTTAGACACTCGTCTCTCCCATTTTCTGAGGGTGCTGTTTCGCATTTAGCTAGATCGAATGATTTTTTCTTAATATTCCGATCTTTGTTATAATAATTATAACAAAGTAATGGAGTAATTTCACAAAAATAATTGAATATCGTAGTAAAACATCGTGATAGTCAATAAACTTAAATTGTATTTTAATATAATATACATATTTGTATTTGAATGAATTAATAATCATAGTTTTGTGAAGTAAAATCATTTCTTTCAGAAAGGAGAAAGGTCTAGATAAATAGTTTCATTGTCTCCATGGCCGAACGGTTACCATGCCGGACTGCCACGCAGAGGTCCCAGGTTCGATTCCCGGGCCGGGTGAAATATTTGTATGTCCTTCATTTATTTCTCTCGTGAGTTTGGGTGTAATTTGTGGTTGTCTATGTGTGTGTCCATGGCACCCGCGACACAGGGTTTCCCTAGTGCGGGGCTATGTTGAGTGTGTACGTTATTATTATTATTATATTGTAATTGAATTTATATGCAAAAAGTGAAGTACATTTAGTTTGTAAAGAATAAATGAAAGTACATTTGTATTTATTTATTAATTCATATTAAATTAACAATAACAATCTTGTAATACAATTCAGAACTTTGTACAATTGGAATCCATCCTCCCGCCTATAATGGGACGAAATCTTTCTTCTATCACAGTGGCTTGGGTGCCAATTCGTAATAGGTACACGTAGTAGCACATTACTATCTTTCCTTCCATAAAGAATGTCACTTCTGTTTTGTATTCGCCATACACTTGTGGTACTTTATACTTTTCATTATCGAAATGACAGTTTCGTGTTTCGTGATATCCCTGTAAGACAAAAAACGATATTTTTAAATTTTTATTGAATTGATAAATGTACAAGTTTTTATTGTATCCTAATATAATTAAGATGTTATTCTAGTTTTTAGATCCTCTTTCATTCTCTCACGTAAACTCAAAAAATGTAAACGCATGTGTTTAATTGACGGTCATGTGTATGGCTGACGTGTCCTCTATGAATTATATTAATATATGTTGTATTACCAACACAATATAACACAACTACAATTATTATACATTTAATTCTTTCACGTGTTGTATTCTTGAAATGATAGACGGAAATAAAAGATATATTTACATCTAATTATAATACTTTATTTAAAAATTATATAAATATGCCACATCAATTTTTTGGTTTCAAAGTAGGCAAATTCTTGTAGGTACTGTGATGATGCGACCTCTTTCATCATCATCTCATCTGTTTATCACCCTTTTCTCTAGTTCCTGGCCACCTACTTTGAAATTTTGAATCGTTTTTAAAGTCCCTGTCTTCGTCACTCTTACTTTCTTCTGTCCGTCGCCACTCTCTACTAAATTTCCGAAGCGACCACACATGCTCGACTTCACATAAAATTCTGAATATACCATTAAAAATCATGTAACCAAACTGCTTATAAGCATAGTTTTTTTTTAAACACAGGCCCTTTTGGGGTAAGTTCTTTTTTAACCTTTTAACCTCTATTTAATTTAAGCAGGGAGTGGTTTTATACGATTGTACTTGTTTTTATATCATTATGTTTTGTTGCTGCCCTTAGGCTTTTACTTTACCTGTTCTTTTCCCTTCCTGTACCTTCTCTTTCTTATTTCTGCAATAAAATTCATGGGGACCGAGCGTTCCATTTATTTACGCGAGGTCCACGTGACACTATTGTAACCGTAACAACAAAATAATTACCTGAATATCTCGACCCGAAGCAACTTAACATTTGTTATTATTATTGATACAAAAATCGATCTGACCATTCTTGAACCAGCATCTGTTGCCACCGCTTTTACCAACTGAGCTACAGATCATTCGATCTGTATTTCAGCAGATATTACGAACTTCTGTAAGTGCTCGTGGATCTTTGTATTGGGTTTAAAGTAAATTAATTAATTATGCGACTTTTGTCGCCGTCAGCGCCACCTACGAAAAATTCATGAAAGTTTCTTCGCTCAGCGACCAGACTGGGTTCAAGTGTAATGAGATCGAAGGAATTTTTGTTTGTGTTGTTTGATCTTGTATCAAATTACTAGCAATAATACAGATATAAAATTAATTATGACTGTCGATACCTTCGTGTCATAAAATACTATTTGTAGTAATATTATCGTAATTAAATCCATATTGCGTTCTAAATCGTCCGTAAGAAAATATTTTTTCTTTATCACATTAACCTAGTGACTATTATTTCCTAGTGATATGTCAATAAACACTAAGGGAGTCATCACACTTATTGCCAAGAGGAGCGTTAGGTCAATGTAATAAGACGGAAAACGACATGCATTTCGCATTGGCGATGCCGCTCAGGCAGCGATACGAATTAACTTTTATTTACGATTTTAAATTTACGAAAATCGATACAGATACCGTGTGTCTCTA